AACATCATTATTGCCCCCTTTAGGTGTAACACCCCGTTCACCATCACACTAAATTTGTATCTAGAAACTTCTATTTATTCGGGTCTTAAGGCCACCTGAAATCATTTAAATTTATTTCATAGTTTATATCATATTTCGTAATTTTAATTTATTCGGATTTTGCTATTTTATTTATTTATTATTATTATTTTATTTTATTTTTTTGCATTTTTTTATTTAAAAGTAACTTTTAGCAGAAAAATGAAAAATGAGGCAAAATCTCATGCAAAAACACCCACGGGAAAAGCTCACCCGTGTGGGCGCAACACACTGTGTGCAAGCGTGCGCGTACAACCAGCACAAGACATGCACACGTCCCATCTGTGCGGGGTGTGGGCATAGTCTGCACGCACATCCCATCGTGCCCAGATAGGCCAATCTACAGGTGCGTCCCATCGTGTATGGATAGGGCCAAGCCTCGTGCGCCCTCTGTGCACACAAAGTAGGCCTGTGCACTTGGGCCTGTGCGCATTAGGCCTACGTGCAGTGCCCTATGCGCTATAGGCCCTATGTGCGTGTAGGCTAGCTCCTATGCACGACAGGATAGGCTGGCGTTAGCAGGCTAGGCCTACAAAGCGCGGCTAACCTAGTGAGGTGCACTACCGCCTTGGGCAGTGTGCAGTCACCCTCTTGGGAATCGTGCACTGGTTTGGTGTGCCGCTACCTTGGGTGGAGAGTCGTTGTTGGTGGAGGATTCTTCCTCCATTTTTCATGCCACCGTCGCGTCGCATCAAATCACTCATCTTCCACTCAACTTTCTCTCTCTTCATCAGATTTTACTACTTGGCGCAAATCCAACGGTCCCCATTTTCTATAAATAGGGACCCCTTTTTTCCATTTTTCTCATCATTTCAATTTCATTTTTCCATCTTCCAAGAGCTTAGAGAGAGAGGGAGTGATCTAGAGAGAGAAAGAGAGGAGAAGAAGAAGAAAAATGTAGGAAAACTTCAAGGTTTCGATAAAGAATTTAATATTTCCTTAAACATCTTAAGGAGCGTTTCTAGAAAATCAAAAGTATGAAGTTTGTGTTTTGTGTTTTGCGTGTTTTATGTTTAATAAAGAGATTTGTTCTTGATTTCAAGCATGATATGTGATTTTATAGGCACTTGATAATTTGCACGTAAATAAATAACATGAATCTGGTGATAATTTTCTGAAATACATGTATAAAAAAAAAGAAAGAGAAAGGGAATGAGCCTGAATTGTCTAAAAAATAAATGTATCCATATTGATATGTATAATGCATCAAGTGTCTTGTTAGGCTTTTTATCTCTGAGGAGTTTCTATTTCCTCTTCCTCCATTTGGTCTGGAAAGATGTGAGATGACCATCCTTTGTGGAAGACGGTGTACCTTCTGACGAGAGCGATGATGCGAATATCTGTTATGGATCACTTTTGGCTAAGTACTACCTTGACTATAGAATATATGATAGGGCCACTGTGGTTAGTACGGCCGTGTTCATAGATCATACCATGATTTCGTAAGCTAGAAATGTGCTTGAGCAAATTGTCGTTATATATTTGATCTAGTCATTCTACATGGATAGTCAGAAATCTGTATTTGCCCTTAGAGATGGAAGTCAAAACGACTTCATAAACCATGACACGAAAATCTGAGCATTTCATTATTTATTTGATTTTCTCTATTGTTAAGTATAATTTTGATTTGATTATTATGACTGTGACATGATCTTTTCTTTAAATAAAATTATTTTCATAAAGTAAAAAAGGACCCTAACGTGACCTGATGGTAAGTATTAATGACATAATTATTCACTTTTAAAATCTTATGATGTTATTTAAATACTGTTTTCGTTACTGAGTATATGAACTCACCCTTTTCATATTTCCTTCCATATGAGGAGGATAGTGAGGAACCAATCACTGACATACTCCTTGAAGTCTATAAGGATCCCGTGGATTCACATACCTTGAGTGCATGACTTGTCCCCCACTCTAATAAGTCCAATCGTGTAGTGAAAGAAGTGGCCCTTTTGTATTTTGATATCTTATATTTTGTTGCCACTTTTGGCCTCAATTATATATATGTGTAATTAAAAATCATATATTTTAGTAAGAGACTTGTAATAATTTTCTCCACTGCATAAAATTTTTATCATGCACTCGTAATCTGTTTCTATATCTATCACTCTTATGCCTTAATTTGATGGTACTTTATGTAATTCGAGCTATTTTTTATATTTTGTTGTAGGACAGGATATAAGGACGAAATGAGAAAAAACAACATGAAAAGAGGAAGAGTTCGTGAAAAGAGTCATCAGTCTAGAAGCAAGCCTTAGATAAAGCTTGGGTCTAGTAGACAGATAACTTAACCTTAGGCAAGGCTAAGAGTCGCCCACAACAGTAGATTTAAATTAAAACGTGCACTTTTCAAATTTGAAAAAAAAATGTCATTCCAACCAAGATCTAGGGCCAAAAAGTAAGGGAAAAATATTCTCAAAAGTTTGGGATAAGCCAAAAATCAAGAAAAAGGATCCTAATTAACAAAAGAAGAAAACCCTAGCTCATTTTCTATAAAGAGGGTAGCTGTCAAGTAGTTCATCACCTTTCTTATTCCCGATGCCGCACACAGCAATTTCACTGCTTCTACAATTTTTACTCTTCATCTTTATTCTTTCCTTTACTCTTCAAGAACTCATTTATGTTAAAAAGTCCACCATGAACGGCTAATTTATTTTTGTTTTCCTATCTGAGATCTAATGAACTCTAATGATGTATTTGTGAGATCGAATTGGTTTAATCTATGTTTTATTTAAATCTTGGTATTTATTTATTTTTCTGTACCTATACATATTTACGATCTTGAACTCATTTGAACAGGCCTATTGGAGAGACAACAAGTAACTAGTTGAACCCCTCAAATCCATAAATATTTGAGTGGTTCCGGCACCTAGTAGTGATCAGTGTCACAATGAGGAGGTACGTAATATGATTGACCAGCTCATGCAAATAAATCTGACAACTTGAATCAAGTTTTTCTAGTTCTCAAGGTTTTTCTAGTTGGAAACTGTAACTGGTTTGTTAAAATTTAAATAAAACAAATCATTACATCTATGATAAATTACGTTACTAGAGCTAGCTATTTTGTCGACTAAGAATTTTTTATAATTACTTTAGTTTCTAATTTGCAGCCAAGAGTTTGTTTAATATTATTCTGCTTTTTTAACTTTATATTTCACGTATTAGATTCTACAAAACCCCCCCTTTTATTTGCTTTTTATTCGTTGATCAAGGAAGAAAATTAGTTTCTAATTCCTGGTGGATTCAACCCTTCTTACCACTTCTATGGTTTAGTTTTTTTGGTTAATTAGGATTTTATTTTTTGTGGATTCGACACCCATCAACCTTCATGCACATCAATTAATGTTTTGCCCGTTGCAAAGAAGGGTTTTCTAAGTATGAGGGGAACTTCTCTATTAACTTCCATTGTTAACACCACAAAGTCGATAGAGAATGTTAAGTTCTCCACCTTTACTAGCACATCATCTACTATTCCCAAGGAGTATCTCACTGATCTAACTATTAATTGCAATAACACTGTTGTGGGCTTCACCTCGCCAATACCTAGTTTTTTAAACACAAAAAGATGCATTAAGTTTATACTAACACCAAGATCACAAATATCTTTATTAAAATCAAAATTTCCAATATTACAAGGTATAGTAAACCCTGGATCTTTCACTTTAGGAGGTAGCTTATTTTGAATGATGGCACTGCATTCCTCGGTGACCATAACAGTCTCATGGTCTTCCAAGCTCCTTCTCTTTACTAGAATCTCCTTAAAAAACTTTGCATAACTTCACATTTGAGTAAGAGCCTATACAAAAGGAATATTAATGTGAAGTTTTATAAATATATCGAGAAGTTTAAGGAAATTCTTATCTTCATTGTGTTTTTTGAGGCACGGTGGAAATGGAACAGGTGGCACACAGGGCTTGACCACTACTTGTTTCCTCTCATCTTCTTACTCTTCCTTCTCTTTTTCTCTTTTTTCTTCTATGGTTGCTTTATCCTTTCTTGTATTTGCTAACAATTTTCCACTCCTAAAGGTAATTGCCTTGACCTGTTCTTTTGGATTTGTCTCTGTGTTACTTGGTAAAGTACCTTGAAATCTTTCATTGAT